CTATCCTGTCTCCTCATAACTGGAGGAATCTAAGAGTCACCTCCCAGATGTGCTGTAGAATAGCAAACCACCACACACAAGCCCTAGCCAATCAGCCTCAAGACAAAACATTCTTCCTTGACCCCATACATGGCTGTCAACAAAAATCCAGCCCACTGACCAAGATCAGTCTGTGAAGCCAAGAAACATATGTAAAAAAAAAAAAGTAGACTTACCACTGACCCCCCCACACACACATTTAGGGTCTCACAATCCTTCTTGAGATAATGTCCCACCTGAGGTCTGCCTCTCAGGCACATCTTCAGCAGCTCCCTCATCTCCTCTAGGCTTCCTCTCTTTATAGTACCCAGCTCTCCCCAGCTGGGCTTCATCCTTAATTAGGCCTGGCCCACCCTCCAGGTTCAAACAGGTGGGTAACTTGGCCTCTCCAGCCCACATTAACCCTTTTACTACCCTTGTAGTGTAGACACCCTATCACAACACAATACAATGATCTCCACTCCCAATTACCTCTGAGTTTTGTTTTCTATTAGAGTCTAGCCAATTAAGGGGTGAATGGGAGAGCAACTACTGCAGGGATTGTATGAGAGGGAAACCTTACTACTGCAAGCTGACTCCTCTCCCTTTTAGGAGAGAGTGAATAGATCTATGGATTGGTAGGAACTGTACCCCTAATCACATAGCAAACTTTCCCATGCCCATCAGCCATCTGCCTGGCCAGCAGATTGAAATTTCTGCCTCTCCTATAGGGCCACAGAAGAACTTGGTTCCTAAATGCTATGTTAGTTGCCCACCTAAACAACTCTGAGATCAGAGGGTTCTGGAGTGATGCTACTTTTAGAAAATCGATAGAGAGCAACCCTTCTCCTCAATGCCCCTTCATCTACTGACCAGCATACCATTAGATCTAGCCAGATAGCAGGCTGGCGAATACCCCACCTTCTCTCTCTCTCTATAGTGGTTCACAGCTGGAGTGCTTTGCAGAGAGTCAGCATGGCTCACTCTCATATAGTCCAAGTTTTGTCAATCCAGCATTACCAGACATTTGGAGATGGAACCCTAATCCTCCTCTGCAGTGGGCACTCCAAAAACGTAGGGAGTCTGTTAGTCCTTTTTCCTTAAAAATGCCATGAGACTTCCACCACAGTTCACCTGGATTTTGTTATTAAACAAATTACTGTCAATTTTGTTAATAAAACCTCTCTGTGAAAACAAGGCCTAGAGCCATTTATCCATTTTATTTTTATCTACACTTTTGCTTTGATTTGACACGTAATAGTCTCTCTGTAACTCTATTACACAGTGAACTGATTTTCTTTAGTGAGTCATTGGAAAATTGCATGGGCAATTTGCCGTGTGGTAAAGTATACACTATTTTCAAAAATACATGTAACAATTTATTTACTTAGTCTGATTCTTTGTGTAGATACAGTGTACATTTTTTATGAGACAATGAAATGTGATTCATGCAATCTTATTGGCTTAATGTAGAGGGCATTAATTCTCAAGAAAGGCCCTGTAAATACCAATTGAAACTTAATCAGCCATAAAACAAAAACATTTTCCACCTTGTTTTAATATCATAATAGCAATAACATCCCTATAACAGGATATTTCACAGGAATTCATGACCAATGAAGTTAATGCCGTTAGCTCCTTCCAGCCAGTCAATAATCTCTAGAAAAAAACCCAGGTGTTGTTTAATTATGTCTTATTTTAAATCTGGTTGGTTACAATTTTTTTCTGCTGTTATATTAAAAACAAAGTCAATTAAGCTGCAGGTAGAATAACAGTGTCACACTGAGCACCTCTGAAAGATACTCTAACTAAAAGAAGCCAAGAAGATACAGTAGCCAGGATGTTAGGGTGAAGTTTTTCAAAAGTGACCTAATTCCTTCCCATTGAAGTCAGTGGTAAAGCTCCCATTGACCTCACTAAGAACAAAATTAGTCCAACACTGGATGCTTTTGAAAATCTCAACCTTATTCAAAGCCAGGACAGAGACCTTCCATAGCTTATAGTGCATGCACTCTGCCATGTTGATGCTTTACTTGTGCAGAGCTGCTGGTCTGGGGCTTCTACACCTCGGTGAATTGCTTCTTTGCCATGTTTATCAAGGTGCGTTGGAGATTTAAGCTTCTGTGGAAATGAAAGCAAAGTAATTCTGTCAAGTTCTTGTTCTTGTATTTTAGTAACTTGTTTAATTTAGCTCATGGACAATGATTTTGCTTTCCATTGGCTGTATGCATAATCATTAGAAGCTGCATTTTTAGACGAATACAATAAAAACAGATAAAAAGATCATTTTGAAAGTATGACTATGCAAAGAAGAATTACAACAGTGTGCAATTTAACTTTAAACACTGATAAGGATTTTAAAAATATATAAATTGGGCTTATTTGCAGTATGTCTGAAAATATGAATTGTGATGGTGAAGGACACTGCAACAAAGTATCTTGTTTTATACAAATATTTAAAAAATAAATCTAATCTTTTTCCGTGAGCTTTTGATATGAAAGACAGGCTAAGGGTTCACATTTTTATGACCAAATTACAAAGCATCTTTCAAATATCATCTTAAAACAAACCATACATTAACATAACAAGTAAGCAACAGGTAATTACAGTGGCAAAACAACATTGTCTGAAGTAATTCTCCTTTAATATGTTGCAACATTCCATGTCATAAGACAAGGGACCAGGCCTATAAAGCATATTGAAAGAAATTGTGTGAAGCACAGTAATCAGAGTTCACATTTTTTTGCTTGGTCCTGTCACTACATAAAATAAAACATTCAAACACTGAGGGTAATGAGTGAAATACAATAATATACACAAAACCTTGCTGCAAAATAACACATTTAGCTGCATTAACTCACAACAGAGAGATGATCACTTGACTATAAAAGTATCACTTAAGGTCTTTCACAAGATACATTTCAGAAATTTCTCAAGTCTATGAAGCACAGGTTTCATGCAGTTGTCCCAGCCCTTTTCATTTATATGGCAGCTGCTCCAAAGCCCCTTGCAATCAATGAGAAAACCTCCCATTGACTTAAATATGCTTTGGATCATGTTGGTAGGGCTCAGTCATTTAAGTGCTGCCTATTGAAATCAATGGGATTTAAACACGAGTTTAAGGACTAATTTTAGGAAAACATCTCTATTCATGAGATCACTTAAGCATATGTGCAAGAGTTTTCCTGAATCCAGTCCAAGGATTGTTCTGAACATGGATGGACTTAAGCATGCACTTAAGTGCTATGCTGAATTGGGGCCAGAATGCACTACTCCAAACCTCCAAATCTGACAATGGCATACCTCAGCAAATAAGCCACTCTCCCTTTGATAGCTATGTGTATTTAAAGATGATCACATCTAATCTCTGCTTCCTGCCATTTTTCATTAAGTTCAGTTAGATGTCTTGGTATGTAGGGAGAGTTTCCATGCAGACTAGAAAGGAAACATGTAGGGCTAAATCAACACATTTATTGCATGCCAAGTTATAGTTCACTGCACACACAGTACTATGAAAACCTGAAATGTTTTCACCAGAAACAAATGAGGTACACACAAAAGTTGGTTAACAGACAGAAGCAAGTGTATTTATAAGCCAAACAGCCCTAACATTCAATAGCTTTAATACTCCATTACGTTGTTTCATACAAATTAGAGATGACAGACTTCTTGTCCATCCCCTGCCAATTCAGGATGTTCTCTATTTGCTAATTCATTCACTGGAGCTGACTGGCAACTGACAATTAAATGAAATAGAAATAACTAACTGGATGTGCCAAGAGAGGGTTCCCTCTGCAGCAGTGAAGTACTGATTTCCTCTTGCAAAGTGCTGAGCTCCCTAAGCACCGTTTACTTAAACGGGAGTTGGTGGAGCTCAGCTCTTCATAGGATAGGGCCTTTAGTGGTATAGTAAGCATGGTACCCTTCATTTTCCTTTAATCTACTGCTATTGAAACCACCCTCACCACATTCCCAATGCACAGTGCACAACTGCACTGGTAGTTGGAACTGGCTCATTTCAATTTTTTTAGACATGTCCCAGAAACTGGACTGTTAAGCAACAATAAAATGATAGTATCAGAGGGGTAGCCGTGTTAGTCTGAATCTGTAAAAAGCAACAGAGGGTCCTGTGGCACCTTTTAAGACTAACAGAAGTATTGGGAGCATAAGCTTTCGTGGGTAAGAACCTCACTTCTTCAGATGCAAGTAATGGAAATCTCCAGAGGCAGGTATAAATCAGTATGGAGATAACGAGGTTAGTTCAATCAGGGAGGGTGAGGTGCTCTGCTAGCAGTTGAGGCAAATGAATGTCAATATACAAAAACCTGTAGCAGAGCACTTCAACCACCCTGGCCACACAATAGCAGATGTAAAGGTAGCCATCTTACAGCAAAAAAACTTCAGGACCAGACTCCAAAGAGAAACTGCTGAGCTCCAGTTCATTTGCAAATTTGACACCATCAGATCAGGATTGAAC